GTGGGTGCGGTGTACAGGTCATGTCCGGGATGCGTCCTGGATGCGATAGGGATGTAGCTAAATTTTCAGGAATTTCTAGGCAGTTTATGGGACACAGTAAATAGGACATGTCCAGGTCGCAGCCTGATTTTCAGTCATTTCTAGATAGTTTCTAGAACACGATGTGTAGGCCATGTTCAGGATGTGTCCAGGCCAAGGCAGGGTCGTAGCCTGACTTATAGGAATTTCTGGACAGTTTCTAGGCAGGGAGTACAGTCCTGTTCGGGAAGAGCCCAGGCCGTGTCCTTCCTGGCATTTCTAGGCAGTTTCTGGGACACGGTGTACAGGCCATGTCTAGGACAAGGCAGGGATGCATCATCATTTCCAGGCATTTCTAGGTAGTTTTTGGGACATGGTATGTAGGCCATATCAGGGATGTGTTCGAGCCACAGCAGGGACGCAGCCTGATTTTCAGGCATTTCTCAACAGTTTCAGGGCATGATGTGCAATGCATGTCTTGGCATAGTGTGTTGGCCTTGTTCGGGATAGGTCCTGACGGTGGCAGGGTTTCAGCCTATTTTCTAGGCATTTTTAGGCATTTCCTAGGATAGTGTGCAGGTCAATTCCGTGACACAATAGGGGTTTGGCCTGATTTTTAGGCATTTCTCGACATTTCTAGTGAACGTTGGGCAGGTCATATCCGAGATGCCTCCTTGCCACGACAAAGACGTAGGTAGATTTTTAGGCATGCGAAGGTAGCACGATTTGCTGGCCATGTTAGGGACGTAGGCACGTAGCCAGGCATTTTGGGCAGTTTTTGGGACACGGTGTGCAAGTCATGTCCGGGACGCATCCTGGTCGCGAAGGAGAAGCAGCCTGATTTTCAAGCTTTTCTAGGCAATTTCTACGACATGGTGTGCAGGCCATGTCCATTATGCGGTGGAGAGGTAGCTTGATTTTCAGGCATTTCGAATCAGTTTCTGGGAAACAATGTTCAGGCCATGTCCATGATGCGTCCTGGCCACGGTAGGGACACAACCTGATTTTCAGGCATTTCTAGGTTGTTTGTGGGTACAATGTGCAGGCCATGTCCGGGATGTGTCCTGGCCGTGACAGGGATGCAGCCAGATTTTTAGGATTTTCCAGGCAATTTTTTGGGACAAGGTGAATAGGTCATGTCCAGTACGTAGCCTAATTTTCAGGCATTTCTAGGCAGTTTCTGGGACACAGTGTGCAGGCCGTGTTTGGGATGCATCTGGGCCACGGTAAGGACATAGCCTGATTTTTAGGCATTTCTGGGTAGTTTTTGGGCATATAGTGCAGGCTATGTCAGTGAAGCATCCAGATCGCAATTTGGACGCAGCCTGATTTTCAAGCAGTTTCTTAGACACGTTGTGCCAACCATGTCCAGGACACAGTAGGGACAAAACCTAATTTTTAGGCATTTCTAGGTAGTTTCTAGGATACAGGTGTGCAGGACATTTCCAGGACGTAGCCTGATTTTCAGGTATTTCTAGGCAGTTTCTGGTACACGGTGTGTAGACGATGTCCAGGATGCAACAGGGACACAGCCTGATTTTTAGGCATTTCTAGGCAGTTTATGGGACACGGTGTGCAAGTCATGCCCGGGATGCTCTAGGCAATTTTTGAGACACGGTGTGCAGGCCATGTTCGGGATACGTCAGGGCCGCGACAAGGACACAACCTGATTTTCAGGCATTTCTGGGCATAGTGTGGAGGGTATGTCTAGGCACGAAGTGCAAGCCTTGTCAGGGATGCATCCTGGCCAGATAGGGATGTAGCCTAATTTTTCGACATTTCTTGGCAATTTGTGGGCACGGTGTGCAGGCCAAGTTCGGGACCCATCCTGGCCGCGACAGATGTGTAGCCTAATTTTTCGACATTTCTAGACAATTTCTGGGAATCGGTGTTCAGGTCAAATTCGGGACGTGTCATGGCCACAGCATGGATGCAGCCTGATTTCTAGGCATTTCTTGGCAATTTCTAGGTCACACGGTTTAGGGTTTATTTTTTTAATTAAGTTAGAATTAAAAGCATGAAATATATACATGACAAAGAATAATGAAAATAAATTGTATCTCAATGTTACAACCTATGAATAATAAAACTAGTCTACATAACAGAACCAAACTTCCCACCGTCGCAGTACCACAAATAAAACCCACCGCCGCCTTCAGACCAGTACCACCGTTAGTTAGGGCTAGGGACAATGCATGCTAGTGGTGACGGTGATGATAAGGAGAAGGTGCCTGCATTGTAGATTGGTGACTGGAGCCATGTTTGTCGGACAAAACCATAACCTCTAGCTTTTGACCCTTCTAGCAATGTTCTTCAGCTCCACTGGTAAAGAAAAATGGACTTGATTTTTTCTAAAAAGGAGTTTTCTCAGCCCATTTGTTGAACTCGTCAACTAAAGATGGAACTGCCCATAATTATTTTCATCGCCTACTACGAACTCTCTTGCTTCAGAAAGAACACATAGCAAAAACACGACGGCCGAAAATAAGAAAATATTTTTGAATGAAGCCATTTTAGGTAAAAAATAGATAGATTTTCAAATAATATTTTAGTAATTTTTTAGACAATAGAATAGAATGGTTTAGGGTTCAGGGTCCAGGTCCAGGTCCAGGGTTCAAGGTTTTTTTTTTTTTTTTGACAAGGCAATCAACAAAAATTCATTAACGCTTTTTTGTGAGGGTCATGTCAAAAAAGGTAGAGAGCAGCACTTTGAACGTGAAACTATAGCATTTATGCTACACTTATTGATCTTTTTAAGCTGAGAAAAGTAAACTTCTGTAGTAAGGAATTCCACTTTCTGTGCTAATACCAGCTCTAGCCAGAAAACATGCTACGGACTGCAAAACGATTCAACAAAAACAATTCATGAGAATAATAATCCCTCCTTCTCCAACTTTTCCAATTTTTTCAATTTTGAGTCAACTTCTTCTTTGCACATTTGCATTATCACTAGACTAGTCCAAAGCACTTGGACAATTTTAGCATCCCTACTAACAGTTGTATCAAGCGGTATCCCCAGGTTTTTCACATCATACTCCACCAGTACAACATATCCAACAATGGCTCCCTCACTCTAGAAGTAATGGTAGTTTGCTTGGGAAATACGTGATAGTGCTCAACACACTAGAAAAACCCTGGAAATACGATGAAATATTTGGCTGCGGCACACAGTTTCTTTCAAATTCTCGATCGACAGATGATCGAGAATGTCGATTAGTATTTCATCTGGGAAGTCAGTGAAGTCAGATATTGATGTAGGTTCAGGTTTTGCTAAGAATTCCTGGAGGTTCCAATTATTTCAATAGCCTTCCATTGTTGCATATGGAGCTGTTGCAGACGTACGAGAAGTCCAGGGTTCAGGGTTTAGGGTGTAGGGTTTAGGGCTCAGGGTCCAGGGTCTAGGGCTTAGGGTTTACGGTTTAGGACTTAGGGTTTATGGTTTAGGGTTTACAGTTTAGGGTTTATGGTTTTCGGTACACGGGTTGCAGGAGATGACACACCCTTATTTTCAGGCATTTTTAGACAGTTTTCTGGGACACGGAGTGCAAGCCATGTCTGTGACGCGTCCTGGCTACGGTAGGGATGTAACTTGATTTTCAGGCATTTCTAGGCAGTTTGTGGGCACGGTGTGCTGGCCATGTTTGGGACGCGTCTTGGCCACGACAGGAAAGCAACCTGAATTTTAGGCATTTCTAGGCAGTTTGTAGGCATGGTGTGCAGGTAATGTTCGGGATGCGTCCCGACCACGTTAGGGAGACAAGCAGATTTTCAACCAAACGAAGAAAGCACGGTGTGCAGGCCACGTTAGGGGCGCAGGCACCTTCCCAGGCATTTTGGGCAGTTTCTAGGACACGGTGTGCAGGCCATGTCCAGGATGCAGTAGGGACGTATCCTGACTTTTAGGTATTTTTAGGCATTTTCTGGAACACGATGTGCAGCCAAGGTCCGGGACACGTCTGGCCCGTGATAGGGATGTAGCCTGGTTTCTTGGCATTTCTAGACAGTTTCTAGGACACGGTGTGCATGCCATATCCAGGATGCTGTAGGGACACATCCTGAATTTCATGTAGCTCTAGAAAATTTCTTCGACCCAGTGTGCATGCAATTTTCGGGATGCGTCTGGGCTGATGTAGGGATGCAGTTTGATTTCCAACCATTTCCAAGCATTTCTGGGCTGATGTAGAGAAGCAGCCTGATTTTTAGGCATTTCTAGGTAGTTTTTGGGAAGTAGTGTGCAGACCATGACTAGGACACGTCAGGGACTTGATTTTCTGGTATTCATGGAAAGTTTTTGAGCACAGTGTGCAGGCCACGTCCGGGATGCATCCTAGCCTCGGGAGGGACACAGACTGATTTTAAGGCATTTGTAGGTGGTTTGTGGGCACGATGTGCAGGCCATGTCCGAGACGGGCTGGGACACAGCCTAATTTTCAGGCATTTCTGGGACTCCATGTGCAAGCCATGTTCGGGACTTGACATGGGCAAGGCAGAGATGGAGTTTGATTTTCAAGCAATTCTGGGTAGTTTCATGGACACGATGTGCAGGCCATACTGACGCATCCAGACTTTCAGGTATTTTTAGGCAATTTTTGGAACACGATGTGCAGGCAATGTCCAGGAAGCGTCTGGTTCACGACAGGGATGCAGCCTATTTTTCAGGTAGTTTTCGAGATACGGTGTGCAGGCCATTCCAAGATGCTGAAGGGACAAATCCTAATTTTCACATTTTTCTATGTAGTTTCTTGGACACGATGTGCATGCAATGTTTGGGACTCGTCTGGGCTGTGACCTAATTTCCAGGCATTGCCTCCATCCTATTGATATGAAAAGTACAACTCATCAGGATAAAATCTGTGAAGCTTCAGTCTCCACGCTTCGAAAGTTAGAATTAAATTCCATGATTAAATCTAAATTCTCAGAATGGAAAAATTTATTCCCCATAGGGTTTGGAGCAAAATGGAATAAGTCATTTTCCACATATTCTACAGCAAGCAGTTGAGAATCAGTTGTCTATCAAATCTCCGGGGAAGTGAAGAAATGGTGGGATGATTATAATTTTCATCAATGTTGAAGCTATAAGTATTCTCAGATGTCCCTTCAGCTGGATTTATTGGTTGACAATGATCGACTGGAATTGAATCAACAGACTGATTGTTTTCAAACAGGCTTTTCATGAAATCCATTTCGTTATTGCATGATTTGAAATTGGCAAATGGTGTAGAGTCTTCATCACGAGAGAGTGGTGTGTCGACGTTGGACGAATTTGCTGCAGTGGTGGTGGTGCCAGAATTTAAGTTAGTGGAGGCGGAACCCTTACTGAAATACTTTTTTATAATGTAATCTTATAATAATGTTGACTGTCTTCTATCTCTTTTTACTTTCTTTATCTTTCTCCTTGAAATTTGCCTCCTTTTTGTGGCATTCTAGTGATTATTTATTGCATTTTCAGTTCTTCCAGGAATGTACTTAGCTATCTCTGCCCATCGATTTCCAAGTCTTTCATGTGCTTGAATTAACCGTCTCTCTTCATCATCAGTCAAAACGTCCTTCTTGATATGACGACACAGATGATTATTCCATTGCTCGCGACACTGTTTTCCCACTCTACCAACTATTTCTTCAACTATTACAGCCCATTTCCTCAATCCAATTTGATGTACTAAGCTAATCAGTCTCCTGTCTTCTTTGCCTGTCCACTGGCCTTTTATCTGATATCCGAAAGAAGAACTATTCTCTCTCTTCCCCTTCCGATCAGGATTGACCGGTGCAGGTATCACATTTACTGATAGATTTTCACCCGAAGTTTGTTTTTCATGTTGAACTCCTTCCATGAAGCTTGGCTCTTCGGTGGTGTAATTACTGGTTGTGCCATTTGAAGAAAAACTCTAAAACTGATTTACTTCATTAGAAGGAAAATGGTTTAGGGTCCAGGGTTCAGGGTTTAGGGTCCAGCATTTAAGGTTCAGGATCTAGGGTCCAGGGTCCAGGGTTCAGGGTCACGGCTTAGGGTTTAGGGCTTTGGGACACGGTGTGCAGGACATATCTAGAATGAAGCCTTATTTTCAGGCATTTCTAAGCAATTTCTGGGACATGGTGTGTAGGCTATGTCCAGGATGCGTCCTGGCTGCGGACTCAATCTGATTTTTAGGCATTTCTGGGTAGTTTATGGGCACGATGTGCAAGCCATGTCTGAGAGGCATCCTGGCTGTGGACGTAATTTGATTTTCAGGCATTTCTAGGTAGTTTCTGGGATATGCTGTGCAGGCCATATTCGGGATGCGTCCTAGTCGCGGACACCATCTGATTTTTAGGCATTTCTAGTTAGTTTATGGGCACGATGTGCAGGCCATGTTTGGGGTGCATGCATGTTCCTTGACATTCTGGGCAGTTTTTGGGACACGGTGTTCTGGCCAAATTCGGGACAAGTCATGGCCACGGAAGGGACGTAGCCTGATTTTCAGGCATTTTTCAACAGTCTTTGGGCATTGCGTGCAGGCCATGTCCGGGATGCATCCTGGACATGACAGGGACGTAACCTCATTTTTAGGCATTTCTAGGTAGTTTCTAGGTCATGGTGTGCAAGCCTTGTTCAAGATGCATCCGAGCCATGGCAGGGACGGAGCTTGAGTTTCAGGCATTTCAGGGCAGTTTTTGGCACGGTGTGCAGATCGTGTTCGGGACGCGTCGTGTAAAAGCCCAAATAATTCTAGATACCTTAGTGGCACTAAGACATGAATATTGGATGACTAAAGTATACTTCATATTTTAAGTCTCATTTGAGACCCATTTTCGACATAGGAAACATTCGATTTGGAAAATGATATCTAAATAAAAGTTGTAGCTCTTTGAGTTAACTTTCCAACGCACTTTGAATTACCTCAATCGGATATGATAGAAACACTGAAGGCTGTGCAGTGTCAACCGGACTACAACCTATCGACCGAAGCTGCCTGAAATGAAAATTCTCGTTTTTCTTTAGAATTTAAATATTTATTTTCATCAATTATTTTCTCAAAGGGCCATAAAAACCCCACGTTTTTGGCAATAAAAATTCCACTAAATTGAAGCATTTAACCTCAAACTTAAATAGCACCCATGTTTTCTCTCTTAAATGAAATTTAACTCTTCATTTGCTTTAAGTTAAGGGATATTTACCTATAAATAGAGACCTCATTTCGCTCATTTTTTTCTCACACCAAAAGCAAGAGCTTTTACATACTAAAGAAAGAGTTTCCAAGAGAGAAAAAGAGAGGGAGGAAAACTATTTTTCCTAGAAGTTTAAGAAGTGTTTTCAAGCATCAATTCTCAACGGTTTTCAAACATCCAAGGAGTGCATTTCTTTCAACGTCCAAGTTTCATCGAAGTTTTCAATCCAAGTTTTCAAAGTTTCAAAAGCATCAATCAAGGTAGGTAGAGGTGCAATGTGTTTAATCGTGTTAAGTTATAAGTTTCGATTCATGTTAATGTTTGTATGTCAAATGGTACTCC